GTGCCATAATTCAAATCTAGAAAATAGTGGATGAGCTGGTTCCAAACATGTACATACATTGAAATATTTCCTTAGGAAAATGGAAGGCAAAAATAGATGTCTAAACACAGTCCCACTGAAAAGTAAAAAATGTACACTAAAGGATAACTCAGTAAGAAAATAAAAGTTTACAGATTTTTTTTTCAATAACTACTTCGCTCACAGATCCGGTGGCCTGGTGGCTAAAGCTCCCGCTTCACACACGGAGGGCCCGGGTTCGATTCCCGGCGGGTGGAAACATTTCGACACGTTTCCTTACACCTGTTGTCCTGTTCACCTAGCAGCAAATAGGTACCTGGGTGTTAGTCGACTGGTGTGGGTCGCATCCTGGGGGACAAGATTAAGGACCCCAATGGAAATAAGTTACAGTCCTCGATGACGCACTGACTTTCTTGGGTTATCCTGGGTGGCTAACCCTCCGGGTTAAAAATCCGAACGAAATCTTATCTTATCTTATCTTATCTCGTAAAATTCTTCCAAGCTATGCCTGAGCAGCGTAGAACTGACGTCGAATTACATTCCGCAAGCACCAACAGTTTTACTGAACAAGCTATTAGTCAGGAGTATTGGTCGGAGATCAAGCCCCGGGGCGATGACCTCCTAACCATGACCAGGTAGACAAATCACGCAAATCATTCCCCCCCCCCTTCATATACCACGTCTCCCGATGCCCAGAAATATCATATGACCGCTAGCATACGAATACCGTGTGCACAGAGCACAAGTAAACTTGACATTCATGCCAGGCCTAAGTTCTACCCAGTTAGCTTAATTAAAGTAATCAGTGGTGGTTCCAGTTAGCTTACAGACAGTCAAAGCCCTCGCGTACAGTCTCCCAAAATATGGCACAGTACCTAAGTTAAGATCAAGTCAAATTAAGAAACCATAACTACTGGTCAGTTTACATGCCACGGAGTGCTTGAAGTGGTAATATTCCAGGGTGGCAACCCTGTACCCCAGGCCTCGTGCATTGGGTTCTAGTGAGACTCAGCTGCAGGGAGGTAAGTGGTGTTATGCTAAGTTGGCAACACCATACCCTAGGCCTTGTGAACTGGGATCCAGTGAGGCTCAGCTGCAGGGAGGCAGGTGGTAGTATGCCAGGCTGGCCTGGCAACACCGTACCCCAGGCCTTGTGCACTGGGCTCCAGTGAGGCTCAGCTGCAGGCAAGACAATCCGCTGAACATATTTCCTGGAATTTCTACCATCTGCCAGGCGAGAGACAACGGATGTTGCTGACACGACCACTACAGCACCAGGAAGCCAAGACACCCCTTAGAGCACCAGGGAAACCAAGAAGCCAAGACATTCCTTGAGAAGAAGCCAAGACATTCCTTGAGCACCAGGACGCCAAGTCACTCCTTAGAGCAGTGGTTCCCAAACTGGGGGTAAATTACCCCCTGGGGGTAATTTAACCATTTTTGGGGGGTAATGGAGGGGTGACAGAAGTTATGAATTCTGAAAATCAAGAAAACAATACGGTACCCGGTATGAGGATTATTGTTAACTTTGTCTTAGTATATAAAGTTGTAAAGTAAACCTATTAAAAGTAAGTAATAAAGTTAAACCAAATAACAATAAACATCAAAAACTAATATACAGTATTAGAAAAGTAGAAATATATAGCTAAGTGTGTGGAAACCCAAAAGTATTTTGACAAGTATGCTTCAGGACAAAAGTCACTCAGTAGCCCAGATCGACCTGTCCAGTATGCGTCACTCACTTCCTGAGGCTGCCTCTATTTCACACTGTCAGTTTATCTGTGAGCATCAGCCGAGGTAGACATAAGCTGGTATGAAGCCAAGAATTCCTAAACTAGCTTCAAGTATGCAACTCCATCCATCCCACTGATGTTCTTGACATCTTTGGTAATAGTCATTAGAGATGCACAATGTTCAAATACAATAAATAAAAGAAAATATCTCGTGTTTTAATTTAGCCATATATATCAATAATAACAACATTTTGTGAAAGGGGTAACATGCTTTATGTGGCATGTTAAATTGGGTAACAAGCTGAAAAAGTTTGGGAACCACTGCCTTAGACCATCAGGACGCCAAGACACTCCTTAAAGCACCAGGAAGCCAAGTCACTCCTTTGAGCACCAGGAAGCCAAGGCACTCTCTTAGAGCACCAGGAAGCAAAGGCATTCCCAAGAGCACCAGGAAACTAAGAAATGTCCACCACCAAACCTCCAAGGACACGCCCACCACACTGCAGTACCTGGAGCTGAGGAAACTCCCACCGCTAGTTTTTTCTACAATTATTATAATCAAGGGGGAAGCGCTAAACCCGGAGGATTATACAGCGCCTAGGAGGGGGGGATGTGGAAGGCATTCAGGCTTAATTCGGGGAACTGGAGCACAGATCCAATTCCCTAAATCAAGAGCCCCTCACCAAGATCAAGGAACCTTCCTTGAGGGGTTTCTACAATTAAGCAGGTCCTGTTACCATTAATTCGTAAGACCACCAGACGAAGTTGTATTGGAGAATATTGATGTAAGAGTGGCCACACAACAAAGGTGACCTGTCAGCTTTCATATTTACGAATAAAGTCAAACCTAAATAATTTTACAATAAATGTAGAATCATGCAATACAAGCCACAGGGATGCAAATCTTCAGCTCGGGATCTCTCACAAGTCTTCATGCGTCATCAGGAGCTATTCAATGTTGCAAGAGTAGCAACAGGTGGAATGAAAGGAAATTTTCTCAGGGTAAAATTGTCTGGTGCACCATCGAATCCTGTATAAATTATACAAGATTTTCACAGGGATGCGGTCCTGTTATAACAAGCAAGTATCCCTACGCAGTTATTATATAGTGGAACACCTAGAGAAACGGAATGTCACAAATTCACTATTATATTATACCAACGGGGAAGCGTTAAACTCGTAAGGAACACACAAGGCCTGGGGATTGAAAGGCAATCAGGCTTGCTTGATGGAAAGGAAGGGTAGCTCTAATTCCTTGAATCAAGATCCTTTCACTAGCATCAAGGAATCTTCCCTCCCTCCCGTGAAAGGCAAACATCACTAGTTGAGTTTAGAGGCGTTCACTCATACTATCGTTATACGCAGTTTTAATATAAACAGGATATCAGACAAGGCCGAGAAGGGTGAGTGGACTGCCTATTCCCTAGACTGCCAAAAGTACTCGACATAACCCTCACATTAATCTCATGAGAAAAAAAAATATTCAGGTGACGGATAACCCAAATGCGACCCACAACAGTGAAAAGGAACAAAGATTAACGTTAGTTGACTTGCCTAATACGTCCCACTTCCCCCAGAACTAAGCCTGAGGTTGTTCAATTTTTACCCACACGCGCTACCACTAAACTACGTGATACTGCAACAATGAGTGCATTCAAAAACCTGAACACAATCACAGTTCTAAAGTACGCTGCACCAACAGAAAAATCGTGACTAATAATGACAACGCAAAAAATCTGATTTATCACGAGACAATATATTTAGTGTGTCCAGTAGCTCGATCGCTAGCGCACTCAGCTCTCACACTGAGGTCCGGAGTTCGAATCATCTCCTGTAAGGCTAGAAAACATTAGGGAGGAGTTTCCATAAGACACCTGCTGTCCCTGTCCACCCATCAGTTTCAAATGGGTACCTGGGTTAGTCGACTGGTGTGGGTCGCATCCTGGGACAAAACTGACCTGATTTGCCCGAAATGCTCTGCATAGCAAGGGGCTCTCTATATAGTAGTATATATCATTGATGTCAGCTAGGCCTGTATAACATGTACTTGTAAATAAATATTTTATTATATTATCAGGGAACCCTAAATCCGTATGGGTCATACAGGGCTTGTGGGAATGGGAAAGCTCTGCTTCCCTTGATCACGAGCCATTCACCGTCATTAATGTCATGAATTAGTGAATAAATATACCACAGAACCTAAAGAGGCAAGTTTAAAGTATGATGTATCAATCTAATGCAGGTTGAGGCAGAACCCAAGAGATACTTCTCAACTCCTGCAAACGCTGATGGGAGCATACTTGAACAAATATTTTCCTAATTTTTTAAAATTTTCAGCAGGAGGAATGTCGTAGTCGAAGCAGTCTCCTAGGGAATTTCCCAGCCCCTGGCCTTTCCCTTCCTTCCCCCCCCCCCACACACAGCCTCACAGTGGCGGCCCACAGGAAACCCTGATATCAGGGTTCACCATACGATCACCCATTCAATTACTAGTAATTTCCAATGGTGTTCTTGGCTCAGCATTAGCGCCTTCTGCTCATAATCAAAGAACCCGAGTTCGATCCTGGGGCAGGTGGAGATTTGGACGTTTTCTTACATCTATTGTTCCTGTTCACATAATAAATTGGTTCCTAGCTGCTAGCAAACTGTTCGCATCATGAAGAGGGGGAGGCGATAGTATACACAGGCTCTGAAATAACCTGAAATACGATAGCAGCTATTACTCTCTTAATTAAACGGTGTGAAAGAAAAGACTGGAGTGATGTACATAAACTAATATTCCGAGTCAGGACACTCCACAACCTGTCTCGAGGGTCCTGTTCTGTGCCCTCTCCAGTCTTTCTAACTAGCAGGATGCCAGGGCACCCGGGAACTTTTTTTTTTCACACTAGAAAAAGCCCACCTTACACTTCGCGTATCCTTCCCCGCACTAGAGATATATCCTGTGTGCAGGAGTGCCCAGCCTGTGTACTCTGCCTTGCCTGGATTTTTCGCTCGCAGTATGTTTTTTAAGCTTCTCTTACATTTTTCATTCAACCACAAAACTTACACTGCAACTATAATATTTATACAACTCTTATCTTAGGCACTTCATAAAATTTTCATACTAATTTATGCATTTTTTCAATATAAATTTTGCTCTCCCGATACAATACGATTTATTTATAAACTACACGCCAACGTCAATCTGCCTACACGTTTGAAAATAGAGAAATTAACTTGGCATCCAAGATTACTACTGTCACTTACCCGGCATTTGGGTTGGTGCTTCAGAGGTTCCTGGAGAACGAACATGCTTCTGACAACACTCTTTGAGGCAGACTAAATGTTCGGTGAGGTCTGTAGTAGTAAGCTTATTCCGGGGTCCGCTGCCTTTGCTGAGCACCGTCACTGATGTTCTGAGCAACAATGACCTTCGTAACTATCTTATCTTGCCATTCTAAGTGGCTTTGTGCATACTGGTGAGCAGGAGTGTAAACACTCTTACCTACACATCCCTAGACTGATGTCTATGTGTAAATTAGGATATGTAACATGTGATTACTGTGGAGTATGCTCATTACAGGGACCAATACGCTCGGTGCAGGGTTCACCAATGGCTTGAGTGGCCTTGGACAGTCATCTTCCCTTTTTTCGGAGGCTGCTTTGCACATCACAGCGTATGATTGTCCTTCTACTATTATCCTATGCTGATATACCTGTAAATTTAATCGTTCCTTAAAGCTTCACATAAGCCTAAACATCTCAGAAGAAAATGCAGAGAATTATTGTTTAGAATATAAATAAAAACTAAGCATAGTGACCTAGCAACACAATTCAAGACGTTTAATAAGATATTATCAAAAAGAAGCACTAAACCCACTAGGGTCATACAGCATTTATAAGTATATAACTTGCTTTTGTTATAAGTTCTTAACATCTCATTCATTGTTAGTGTTAGATAAATCCTGGAGAAACTGATACCTAATAATTATTACATTCATGGGGAAGCGGTAAATCCGCTAGGATAATGGAAGGCATATTCGATCAAAGGGAGGATAGTTCCAAAACTCTGGATCAAAAGGTCTTTATCAACATCAATGCACCTATTATGATTATAAGCAAGGAGAAGCGCTAAACCCGTAGGATTATAGTGCCTATGGGGGGATGTGGAAGGTATTCAGGTTTAATTCAGGAGAACTGGAGCACAGATCCAATTCCCTAGATCAAGAACCCCCTCACCAGCATCAAGGAACCTTCCTTAAGGGGCACCTCACTGTTATGTAGCAGATAAGCATTAGACTCGCAATCAAAAGCATCTGGGTAGGTTAGTGACCTCTTAATCCAGTCTTTTCGCGATGCCATGCACAGAAGAGCATGGGATGGTCAATAATCTAGCTGCTTACGTATCAAAAGAATAATGACTTCCCTATTTACAACATCGAATGTCTCTTTTTTTCTAATAAGTAATTGCAGTACTACGGTAGTACTACCTGTACCTGTAGTAGTACTAAGAGAAATAAAAAGAAAAAGAAATATTAGTAACACTAACAATCAAAACTAAGTGATAATCCCACAAGGGTCACACAACGCTGCATAGTAGAAATAAGCATCAAACTCGTAGTAGTATAGTAGTGCTAGTACAGTGGACCCTCGACATTCGATACTAATCCGTTCCTGAGAGCTATCGAATGTCGAAAATATCGTTAGTCGAATTAATTTTCCCCAATAGAAATAATGGAAATCAAATTAATCCGTGCAAGACACCCAAAAGTATGAAAAAAATTTTTACCACATGAAATATTAAGTTTAATGCAATAGAATAATTACAATAACAACAATAACAATAGAATAATAACAATAGAATAATTGACACTTACCTTTAATGAAGATCTGGTGATGACTGATGGGATGGGAGGAGGGAGTGTCGAAGTTGTTACTGTTTAGAAGGGGAATCCCCTTCCATTAGGACTTGAGGTAGCAAGTCCTTTTCCGGGGTTATTTCCCTTCTTCATTTAATGCCACTAGGACCAGCTTGAGAGTCACTGGACCTCTGTCGCCATTCCTTTAAGATTTGTCTAAAATAGGCCATAACATTGTCATTGTAATAGGCACCAGCACGGCTTGCAATAGTTGTGTTAAGGGTGATTTTCATCCATAAAGGTTTACAGTTCAACCCACTTTGCACACATTTCCTTAATTTTTGAAGTAGGCACAATGGAGTCCACAACTGGCATAGGCTTCTCAGGGTTAGCCCCAAACCCTTCAAAATCTTTCTTAATTTCCATACTAATTCTCACCCTTTTTACCACAGGGTTGGCACTAGAAGCTTTCTTGGGGCCCATGGTGACTTATTTTGCAGAAACAAGCACCAAAAACTGATAATATGGATAATATGGAATGTGCCGAATGTATCCTTAGATGCGCGCACACTGTCTGGCTTGTAAACACTGGCACACATGGGGCAGTTCAGGCCACACGTGGACACGTCTCGTACGAATTGTATCGAATGTCAGGTTTTCCATCGAATGTCGAGGCAAAATTTTTGCGTTAAAATGCATCGAATGTCGGATTTATCGAATGTCGATGCCATCGAATGTCGGGGGTCCACTGTATAGTAGTGCTAATATACTAGTACTTAGCGGTAGTGCTAGTAGTAGTGGTAGAAGAAATTAGCATCAAACTCGCTTGTTATACAGAACTGTGTTAGTAATTATATCCACTTCGAACCAAATTCTACTGAAAAGGTTTAGGAGTAAGACTAGTATTGTAGGGTGTCAGTGTTAAAATATGCACACCGACATCTTCCAACCCAGGAGATGTTGGTTGGCACCCCGATAGTGTCCATGAGAGTTTGCACAGCATAAAAGAAACTAGTTTCCTTAATGTGAGACAATCTGTTAGGGTCAACTCAGACCCAGATTTTTTATTAGAAGAGAAAATGTAGCACTTGAATTTTTTTTTACCGAGATGATGCCCAATCACTTTGGAAATTTCAGCAAGGTTTCTTATGTTTCCATGTGGCAATGGTATAAACAGGATCAGAGTTCAAGGAATACAATAATTCATATTGCTTTCAGGACAGCACATAAAGATACAGTGGACAGGTAAGCAAGCTAGCAGAGGCTTTGAGCAACAAGTGGTTGCCTGAAAGCAGTTTTGGGGTCTACTGGCATTCCAGGGTTGGTAGGTGTTGCAATCACTAAAGATCCAAGTGATTAAGGGAATGTTTTGTTCATCATAAAGTTAAAATGGAGCAGAGCTGAAAGAATAAACAAAACAGAAACCAGGTACCCACTTTGAACCACAGTCACCTCCACTGCAACAGGCAATGATGTTCTATCTGGTGCACACCACTAAGTTGGCATTTCCAGAAAGACTGAGCAAAAAAACACCTGTTTAGACAAGAGCACAAAGTGTGCAACCATCTTTTGGCTAATACTGGCAGTAGGCAGACTGACAAGATTATTATTATAATCAAGGGGGAAGCGCTAAACCCATAGGATTATACAGCGCCCGGGGGGGGGGGGGAGATGTGGAAGGCATTCAGGCTTAATTCGGGGAACTGGAGCACAGATCCAATTCCCTAAATCAAGAGCCCCTCACCAACATCAAGGAGCCTTCCATGAGGGGAGACTGACAAGAACAGCATGAGTCATACCTTCAATTACCACTCCAGCAGTTTCCATAAATAGTCCCAACCTTGTTTCTGTGTAGGGTCACCTGGCACCCTTAAACAATTCAGTTTTCATCAGGTGGTGACAGAATCAGAGCACTACCAAGGAAAGATACGTTACCAAGAGCACTACCAAGGAAAGATATGTTATGGTGATTGCTCTTCCTCTATCTAGTAGTTGCATTTTAGAGGAGGAAATATCCCCTCTAATGAGATGAAATAAGAGGTTAGGGGATATTTAGATTCAATCCAAGGGAGAGAGATAAAAAAGAAAAGGTTCAATTCCTTGGATCAAGAGCCACTTTGCCATCATAGGGGAGACCCTGAAGGGGTCTCCATTGGGAATGTGAATTAAAAGCCCTCTATATACTACATCTGTTACCAATAATCCTCCAATGTCTTGTGAATAATGTAAAAAGGTCTGACCCAAGGAAGAGAAGGGTATCATCAATTCCTTGGATCAGGAGTCCCTCATCAGCATCAAGAATCCCTTCTTCAGAGGGTTCTGTCTGCTTTGAGATTCTCTGCTTCCTTATGCCCTAGACGAGTCTCGAGAATTTATCTACTCATTGAGACTGCCCTGGGCCAGGCTTATTTGAAGGTCACAGGCTGGTACCTATAGCATTTCACAAATTTCTAGACAAGATAGAAAAATAATAAAGCAAGTGAGGTTTAAAAATACAGTAATATACATTTTATTTATCTACAAAATTAGAAAATAAATGACCAGGGCACAATCAAAACTAAATTAGTAATCAGTAAAACTTATATATATGGAGAAAGGAATGCAGACAGGTAAATACAAGTGCTCAATAATATTAACAACAGCTAAATACAAATATTTAATAACATTAACAGGTTGCAGGAATCAACTGTATGGTGCTCTTGTAGGTATTCTAATTAATAACCAGCAAACAATACACTTTATGCATTAGCATTGGAGTGACATTCTTTCAGAAAATTCTTGATTTTCATAAGTTAAATAGTATTTACTTAGTACACCTGTCTTCTAAGGGGGAAAGGAATGTATTTTTGGCCTAAGTAAATTCTTGAAAGTCACTCTAGAGCACCTCTTAAGATAATGATCTCAGTACAGTGTGTGTTAAAGTTTAATTTTCACCATTTATTGTTAATTCCTGCTTCTTTGCTTCTACTTCTCATTCATTAATGTTACAGCAGTCCTCACTGTTAAATCTTTTCTTTATAGTAGCAAATTATAGCTACTTTACCTTACATGAAAGCAAAACCACTGAGTAGAATACTGCAGAATTATGCAAATGCCTCTGAAATTTAATAAGATTTCCAAAGTATGTAAAATGTACATTACTAAATATTTACCACATTTCTTTTGTATGAAAAATGCATATAAAATTATATTTACCAGTGAAAAGGTAAATTTCTTAACTTTTCAGGTCTTCAGGATGACTTACTTTTCATTCAACAGTTTACCACTTCTGAGGGTTTTTCTATTCTGGTTGTTTTTCACTCTCTTTGTTGTAGCAGACACATAAGGAGAAATACGTGCCTTCATTTTCTTCATCTTTTTAAGTGGAGACGTTTTCATTTTAGAAGAGGCTGTTGCTTCTAAACTGTTACTTTTTTGTTTCACACAATCTTCTTCCTGGTCTCCCTTATCATCAATAAATAATATATTACTCAGGTCCATAGTTTCTAGAGAACTGAAAGAAGGTCCCTTTTTTTCTAAATTTTTTAGTTTCAACTTAGTCAATGGGCAGATTCTCTACCAAGTTGCAATTGCTCTCCTTGAACTGGCACGTCAATTTTAATAGATTCAAAGCCAATAAAATCTGACCCAAAAGCCACAGCATCAATCTTTTGCTCCTTTATTTCCCCTGGAATGAATACTCTTTTATTTTTATCAGTTCGCTTTAAGTGATATAACTGGATTTGTTCATCTGTTAAGAAATTGCTGGAAATGCAAGTTTGATTTTCTTTATCCTCTGTAACAGAATTTTTTATGATGCATTCCATCCTGTTGTCAAATTCTTCATTCACATCATCTTCAATGTGGACATCAACAGCTTCACACATCTTGGCAAACAATGGATAAAATCGATTACTCTCATCTCTGACAGATGGTTTCAATCCAAGCACCATGCATGCATGTGGCAAAGCAAGCATGCTTTCATTTTTAAGCAGGTTATCAAGGTCATCTAATGGAATTAGAGGAATACATTTATTTGCACAACCAGGAAGAAATGTTTTCACTACAAAAGTGGGCTCCACATTTTTTTTAACAAAGACTCCAGCTAAAGAATCTTTTTCTAGAGCCCTCATGACAGCATTATAGCCAAAAATCAAATGAGACAAGATTTCTTCCTTCTTTCTGTTCTCAATGACAACATCAGTATCTAAACTTTCTTGCCAATTCTGCAGGTATTCTTTACGAAAAGCTTTCCTTGCTGCACCTTTGAGTTTTTTTAGTTCCTTCCATGGTGGTTTACATGAGAGTTTCTTCAACCCAGAGCATACCATTTGTAAAAGTGATCTAATTTCCTCTTCATGCTTGGTACTTAAAACAGGCCAGTCTAAGGCAAAGGGGCTGTCTAGAGTGTTTTTTACAACATTCTTTTTAGGCTTCTGGACTCCCTTAATTGTTTTCCGCTGTTTGGACACAGACAGGGTTTTGGCTAGCTTTGGTTTGGATGCCATGATAAGCAATAGTATTATAAAAAATCAACAGTATTACGTTTAAAACTATTTAGGTCCAGTCTAATATGCAATATATGAAATAAAAGCCAAAACATAATAAGCAATTTTTTAAATACCTGCACTTAATGAAAAGAAGTGAGAATTAATTTCAAATAAATAATGCCGCCTTGGTTTAAGCAGTAATGAAAATTTATAATACCTGATTCATCAAAGCAATGCTTATTGTCCAAAAGTCTAATTTTCAATGTCAATAATTCCGAAGAAGGCAAGCATTGTGGATGTGTAATGAGGTAAGTATACATATGAAGAGTATGTAACAAGACCAAGAATGGATAAGAAAAAGGCATTCATGGCCAATTTCTCCTTAGGCTCAAGCATATATATTGCTGTGTTCAATTCATATTGGCGGTACAGGTGTGATGCAAACTTCCACACTGAATGAAACATTTTGATTCTTGGTTTTACAATTCAAAAAATACTATTATTATTTAAAGTTATTTTTGAAAAGTTTACAGCAATATAATAGTTTGACACTGCTTACAGAATTTTATGATTGTTTAAAAAAAAAAGTTAAAATACCATATAACTATAAATTAAAATGGATACAACATAAAATTAAATTTAACCCTTGGGTTTCTCGTCTAGTGGAGGCTCTTCTATTTTCGGAATCTCAATTTTAAGCTTTTTAAGAGCCTTTTTCACACACTGCTGGTATTGCTTGTATACAGGTTCACAGGTTGTATCATCTGCTTGTCCATTTAAGAACTTTTCACTATACCACTGATTGAAGCAAGAGTCATAAAGAGACTTTAGTTCCTGACATTCTTTGCTCACACTATTCATGAAGTTAACTTCAGGCAATGAAGACTAACTGAAGATTTGAACAAAATGAAAAGTAATGATACACAATAAACAACTAGAAAGTTGTTAAGCACTTTCAACTAAGATAAAATAAAAAAAAATATGGCATCTAAGTAGCCTTGTTCTTTTTCCTACTTAAATCCCCCACCTTCCGCTGTTTTGCAATGACGTACAGAGATGCTCCAACTTCTCCAAGAACAGCTCCAATGCTACACGTTAATGGCCAAACCTGAAGAAACAGGATATCTGTCTAGACAAAATGATAAAGAGATTCCACAGCCTAACATAATACAATTGACCTGTTACACATTTTACCAAAAGACAGGTATATTAACAATATATACAGTGGTAACCCGAGTTTCGAACTGTTCCCAACTTGAACAATTAGGTAAGTGTATTTGTGTAAGTGCGTTTGTAAGTGTATTCTTGGGGGTCTGAAACAGACTAATCTAATTTAAATTATTCCTTATGGGAACAAATTCATTCGGTATTGGCACTCAAACAGCCTTCTGGAATGAAATAAGTTCGAAACTCGGGGTACCACTGTATATATATACATTTATTAGATGAGGTAGATTTTTTATATTAAAGCAAATGAAAATATGTTAAGATAACTGCAGCCTAAATCTAAATTTTTAAAATTCTTTCCAGCTTCCGGCAGGGTAATATACACATTAATATTTTAATATTTTACACAGAATCTGAAAACACACCTAAGGCTACAGCAGTTAAGTGCAACAATATTTACCTGCCAAGGTGTATCCCAGTCAAGAGGAATAGGTATTGCTCCCAACCATGCACCAAGTAATATAGCAAAGCACTGAACTTCACACTCTTCCTCCCAGTTTAGCCTGAAACATCAGTAAACACTATGAATATTAACAGAGTAAACTCTTCAACCAATAAAAAATCAAACACTGCATAAAGTAATTTCTACCCTTCTTTTTTTTTTTTTACCTCAATGAAACATTTCTTGCTAAGGAAGAATAACCCAAAGAAGAAAACCCTCCAATTCAAGTTTCAGACTGTAAGCACTGCATTTTCCAGTTTATAAAACTTGAATAAGGCAAGTTTTCCCAAAAGTACCATCTAAGATTTTCTTGTAGCTCAGTGGTAGTGTGTTTGGCTCACAAAAGAAAGGATCTCGGCGAGTCTCAGGTGGGATAAGATAGGTAGGCATGTCTCCTTAGATCCATTGTCATCATGCCCTACATATCTCATATGCTTATTTATCTTCTTTTTCTTAAAATATGTATTACCTATTACCAAACCTCTTTCTATACAAATTTCAGCCAAAGACCCCCCTTATCAGGTAGAGAAGATTTTATTGCATTTATGGATCTAGAAAAGGCATATGATAGAGTGGATAGAGGAGCAATGTGGCAGATGTTGCAAGTACAGTGGTCCCTCAATAATCGTCCAGCCTGAAAGTCGTCCATTTCGGGAATAGTCCTGTTTTTTCGTCTAAATATTGGCTCACAAATGGTCCGTTAACTCGCTAATCGTCCTTCGTCCGGGACGGGTACCCACGCTCTGAGCCGCCTGGGCCTGCCTTCCCAGCCAGTGTGCCACTGTTTACCAGTGAGTGACGGTCCCCTCACATGCTCCTATGAAATATTTCATAATATTCCATTGATTTTAGTGCTTGTAAGTGCCAAATAAGCTACCATGGCTCCAAAGAAAGCTTCTAGTGCCAGCCCTTTGGTAAAGAATGTGAGAAACATAATTTATGAAAAAGTTTGTAGAAAAATACAAAGATGGTGGTAGTAGAGTGGAAGCAGTTGTGATAGTGGTTGATGAACATAAGAACGTAAGGAGGATCACTGCAGCAGACCTGTTGGCCCATGCTCGGCAGGTCCTTTACAATTCATCTCATCCCACTAACGAAACATTTTCCCAACCCAGTCCTCAATGCTACCCAAGAAATAAGCTCTGATAACTCTATCCACTCATTTGCAAGTCCCAAATGAGTGGATAGAGTTATCAAAGCTTATTTCTTTGGTGGTAGAAGGTAGTAGTGATGGTGGTAACAGTTGTAATAGTGGTAGAAGGTCGTAGTGATGTGGTGTAGAGGGTTTCTTCTTCTTTAGTGATTCAGCGATTCAACCAACTCCTCTAATGTTGTATAGGGCTACAAAAACCACCGCCGCCTCAGCTGCTGCTTCACCACCATTATGGACGGCTTACACTCAGTGGCCCTTATATACCCAACAACAACACAACACAACACCTCTCGTGACATACGTAATGACTTATTTTATTAATTCTAGAGTATATTCCATGTTTCTATGTTATTAATATTGTTTATTATGTCATATTAGCTGAATTGTGATAGATAAATAAGCCACAGAGTTGATATTAGTGTCATATTCTCCAACAATAAACTTGCCATCCCTCCCTCACACAAACAAATAGCCAATAAGAACATAACAATGGAAGAACACTGCAGGTCTACTGGCCCATACAAGGCAGGTCCTTATCAAAATGACCTCTACCCAAAGCTACCCAAGAATTTACTCCCGTACCCAATGACACAAATCTAACTCAGCTCCTCCAACTCATATATTTGTCCAATCTCTTCTTAAAGCTACCCAAGGTCCTAGCCTCGATCACCCTACTGGTAAGTGTGATGTTAAATAAGAACTTAAGAAAGTAGGAACAATGGAACAGGCCTGCTGGCCCATACTTGGCCAGTCCTTCACAAATCCAACCCACTAACAGAACAAATGCTACCCAAGCAATAAACTCAGATGCAAGTCCGACTCAAATCCAACCCCTCTCACTCGTGTATTTATCCAACCTAAATTTGAAACTACCCAATGTTTTAGCTTCGATCACCCTACTAGGCAGACCGTTCCACTCATCAACCACCCCTATTACCAATGTTCATTTATACATTTTATTAGTGCCCTAGAGTCCTTACGGAGGGGGATTCCCCTTCCAAATAAACTCCCCTCCCTCTCTCCTCCTCCCTGTCTTCCATTCATCAACAACAGCCTTCAATAAAGGTAACTGTCATGTTGAATGTTCATTCTTTTGTGCATGTAAATCTATCTTTTAGGTAAAAAAAAAATTGTTGTTGATACTTCTGGGTGTCTGGAATGAATTAATTGGATTTACATTATTTCTTATGGGGAAAATTGATTCGAAAATTGTCCATTTCGATAATAGTCCCACTTCCAGGAACGGATTATAGACGATTATTGAGGGACCACTGTATATGGAATAGGTGGTAAGTTACTAAATGCTGTAAAGAGTTTTTATGAGGATAGTGAGGCTCAGGTTAGGGTGTGTAGAAGAGAGGGAGAATACTTCCCGGTAAAAGTAGGTCTTAGACAGGGATGTGTAATGTCACCATGGTTGTTTAATATATTTATAGATGGGGTTGTAAAAGAAGTAAATGCTAGGGTGTTCGGGAGAGGGGTGGGATTAAATTATGGGGAATCAAATTCAAAATGGGAATTGACAGTTACTTTTTGCTGATGATACTGTGCTTATGGGAGATTCTAAAGAAAAATTGCAAAGGTTAGTGGATGAGTTTGGGAATGTGTGTAAAGGTAGAAAGTTGAAAGTGAACATAGAAAAGAGTAAGGTGATGAGGGTATAAAATGATTTAGATAAAGAAAAATTGGATATCAAATTGGGGAGGAGGAATTTGGAAGAAGTGAATGTTTTCAGATATTTGGGAGTTGACATGTTGGCGGATGGATTTATGAAGGATGAGGTTAATCATAGAATTGATGAGAGAAAAAAGGTGAGTGGTGCGTTGAGGTATATGTGGAGTCAAAAAACGTTATCTATGGAGGCAAAGAAGGGAATGTATGAAAGTATAGTAGTACCAACACTCTTGTATGGATGTGAAGCTTGGGTGGTAAATGCAACAGCGAGGAGACGGTTGGAGGCAGTGGAGATGTCCTGTTTAAGGGCAATGTGTGGTGTAAATATTATGCAGAAAATTCGGAGTGTGGAAATTAGGAAAAGGAGTGGAGTTAATAAAAGCATTAGTCAGAGGGCAGAAGAGGGGTTTGTTGAGGTGGTTTGGTCATTTAGAGAGAATGGATCAAAGTAGAATGACATGGAAAGCATATAAATCTATAGGGGAAGGAAGGAGGGGGTAGGGGTCGTCCTCGAAAGGGTGGGAGGGAGGGGGTAAAGGACGTTTTGTGGGCGAGGGGCTTGGACTTCCAGCAAGCGTGCGTGAGCGTGTTAGATAGGAGTGAATGAAGACGAATGGTACTTGGGACCTGATGATCTGTTGGAGTGTGAGCAGGGTAATATTTAGTGAAGGGATTCAGGGAAACCGGCTATTTTCATATAGTCGGACTTGAGTCCTGGAAATGGGAAGTACAATGCCTGCACTTTAAAGGAGGGGTTTGAGATATTGGCAGTTTGGAGGGATATGTTGTGTATCTTTATACGTATATGCTTCTAAACTGTTGTATTCTGAGCACCTCTGCAAAAACAGTGATAATTTGTGAGTGTGGTGAAAGTGTTGAATGATGATGAAAGTATTTTCTTTTTGTGGATTTTCTTTATTTTTTGGGTCACCCTGCCTCAGTGGGAGACGGCCGACTTGTTAAAAAAAAAAAAAAAAATCCCAAACTTACCTACCATACCTTCTATAACAGTTGTTCCCGCTTTACCACTCAGGCCCCCACCACAATTACTCTCTCGCTTGATTCAAAACTCCCTAAAGACTCACTAAACATTTGCCAAAATTTCTCTCTCCTCTACACTCCTGTCTTCTCCAGGTGCATAAACACTTAATATAACCCACTTTTCACATCCAACTCTCATTTTAATCCACATAATACAGTGGACCCCTGGCTTGCAATGCAATCAGTATCTGATAAATCCGGTATTCGATGCATTGTATCGCAAAAATTTTGCCTCGGTTCCCATTACAAAACCTGGTATACACGATTCGTCCGAGATGTGTCCACGTGCGGCCTGAAGTACCCCGTGTGTGCCAGTGTTTACAAGCCAGCCAGTGTGCTCACATCTAAGGATACATTCGGTACATTCCATATTATCACAGTGTTTTTGGTGCTTGTTTCTGCAAAATAAGTCACCATGGGCCCCAAGAAAGCTTCTAGTGCCAACCCTTCGAGAAAAAGGGTGCTAATGACTATTAAAATGAAGAAAGAGATAATTGCAAAGTACGAAAGTGGAGTGCATGTGTCGGAGCTGGCCAAGTTGTATACAAAACCCCAATCAACCATCTCTACTATAGTGACCAGGAAAACGGCAATCAAGGAAGCTGTTGTTGCAAAAATTGCAACTGTGATTACGAAACAGCGACCACAAGTGTTAGAAGATGTTGAGAGACTGCTATTGATGTGGATAAATGAAAAACAGATAGCAGGAGATAGCATCTCTCAAGCGGTCATTTGTGAAAAGGCTAGGCAGTTGCATGACGATTTGGTAAAGAAATTGCCTGCAACTAGTGGTGATGTGAGTGAATTTAAGGCCAGCAAAGGTTGGTTTGAAAGATTTAAGAATCGTAGTGGCATACATAGTGTGATTAGGCATGGTGAGGCTGCCAGTTCGAACCAAAAAGCAGCTGAAAAATATGTGAAGGAATTCAAGGATTACATAGATAGTGAAGAATTTAAACCTGAACAAGTGTTTAATTGCGACGAAACAGGCCTGTTTTGGAAAAAATTGCTAAGCAGGACCTACATTACTCAGGAGGAAAAGGCACTCCCAGGACATAAGCCTATGAAAGATCTTCATTAAAGGTAAGTGTCATGTATTCTATTGTTAGTAGAGTACATACTACAAACTGTGCATGTCTTCTTCAGTTCGTGTACATTAAACTTAATATTTCATGTGGTAAAATTTTTTTTTCATACTTTTGGGTGTCTTGCATGGATTAATTTGATTTCCATTATTTCTTATGGGGAAATTGATTCACTTTCCGATAGTTTTGGTTTACGATGAGCTCTCAGGAACGGATTAATATCGCAAACCGGGGGTCCACTGTACTTGAATTTATGCATTTATATTTCTTCTTTTCCTGCCATAACTGATCCTTCAACTTACTTCCTTAGCTCTAACTCTCTCAGATACCCCTAACTTAATCCCATTTATTTCTTCCCACTGAAACTCACCTGCCCCCTTCAGCTTCGTTTTGCTTAAAGCCAAGACAACCAGCTTCTCTTCATTCATAACAATGACAATCATCTCTTCTTATTACCTGCACTACATCCACCAACATTCAAACATACCAACTTTAAAAAAAAAAAAAAAATTAACACATCAGCCATCTCCCAAGGCAGGGCGACCCAAAAAAAGAAGAAACGAAAATTTTTCTTCTTTTTACATTTAGTAATTTAGACTGGAGAAGAGGTTACTAGTCCCTTGCTCCTGGCATTTTAGTTGCCTTTTACAACACGCATAGAGCAGAAATAAAAATAAAAACGAGAAATATTAACAAAATAGAAAATTCAAATGGATGAGTATACATATGTACAGGTATATGCATGTGTAGCGTGATCCAAGCGTTGGTAGAAGTAGCAAGTTGTATCTTATCTTGCATGTTTATGAGACTAAAAGACACCAGCAATCCTACCATTGTGTAAAACAATTACAATTTTCTGTTTCACACTCAATTGGAAGGACAGTAAAACCAGCTTCTTGTTTATGAATAAAACGGCTATCAAACCTCAGTACAGTATTTTGTTATAACATGCCAACAACAAAAAAAAAAATAATGACAAGGGAATTTTTTTTTCATTTTACCACTGAAATATATTCACAAATAAATATGACAGAATAAATTTCTGATGTCATATTCTTCTGTTATTAGATTTGGTCACTTCAGTAGCTTTGTCAATTGCATGCATAAACAATAATGAGAAAATAAACAAAATAGAAGTTTACCTCTCAAGGATAATAATGAGAGCAGATGGTCCAAGAGCAATGAGTGGTCTTATGAAGGCTAAAGATGCTACTAGTACACTGAAGGTAAAGGTGTCCTCAAAATTCCTGTAAAGCAAGAATGAAAAATAACTTAGAAAACCCACAGTATTCACAAAAGAATCTGAATCAAAATTAAAACAGGACTCTTGAGCTTCACTTCTAAAATGGAGCACTGTCAACTCCTGTAATATAAAACATTTAATTAAAAAAAAAGACTGACAGAATGGAAACCTTCACTAAAAGAAATTTTTGCTTAGAGCTCAAAATTTTTCATATCTCGATAAAACAGGGAAATCATAGGTATATGTAGCTGGGAGAACAGGTGATGACGAGGGAAGGGAAGGGAAGCAAGAACTAGGTGAGAACTATTGCTCACCTAGTTCTCACTTCCCTTCCCGTTCCTGATAGACACACCGCCGAACACATCCTCAGCAAAATTACCATGGCCAGCATACAGCAGAAGCTAAGGTTCTCTAGAAAACTTGCCTCTCTCTGTCAACACAGCAAATGGAAAGACACTGGTAGAGTTGACATCATCAATAACCTTTCCTCTCATGTACTCATTGATACAGAGTCTGAAACACTAAGCTTAGGTCTCAAGCTTGCCACTGGCATATGGAGGCTTAAATATAAGTTGGATACAGTGATCAAAAAGCAAGACTTTGGTGACTGAATTTAAAAAAGGTTTCATACAAGGACTTATTATAGCAGCCATTTTGGAACCTAGCTATCCAGTCATTCCATGCCGCTACATTGACGCACACAAAAACATGGCCACTAATAACAATATTCTCATTACCACAGCGGACAAAGGAGTGGTCATCCTCAACTGTACAGAATATATTACCCTTCACCGAGCAGGTCTGCGTTTACTCAGACAAACGCATGGTTTTTTGCTCACGTCCTCCTACTCCTGCCATGCATCTGGGTTCCTGTTCTCTATTTCTGACCAATCACAAGCCTTCTGTGAGTCGCTCTAGCTAAGTGGTGGTGGCGTCTGCTCACTTCCCATTGGTCAAGAGACGAAAATGTAAACACTTCTAGCTTGGCGTCGCCGAGACATATTTTTTATAGTGTCATTCACATGCTCTTGGATTTTACCCTCTACAATGTCGGTGAGTACTGATTTGTGTGTCTAGTTCGTAACTGAATAGTTTAGCCATATCTTGATATATAAAGTCTGTGTGAAGCATAATATGAGTGCACCATGCAAATGAAAAAAGTGCAACAAAAACATCTGAACAAACTCATACTTGCCCCTTTAGGCCCATTTTAAATTTCAGTAAATAAATATTTCTAAAAAAATTTGTAATACATATATGAATTCTGTAGTGGTCTGGGTGTGTACAGAATGCTTTTATTGTCCTTCCAGACCAATGAGAAATTGTTTTATGGTCAGTCCTCCAAAGAGAAGTCCAAATACGCCTGCAATTTGGAGGAAAGTAACTCAGATCCAGGGCCAGATGACCTGGAATTGCTTGACAGTGGTGGTGATGAATACTTGCAACTGGGTGCAAAGGTGTCAAGTGATGAGTAGAAGGAAGACAGACCATCCAAAAAGCCAAAATTGGACAAGAGAAAGAAAGGTATTATGATCAAGGAGTACCCTGATGAAGATCATGATGAGCTTGCTTCTCAAGCTCTATGCATCAAGGATAAAAATTGCTTCAAGTTTCATTGTAGAAATTAGTGATCTAGAATGACTGTTCTTTCTCAGGAAACTCAGGAATACGGGAATTGAAAGTTTTATCCCTTTGCAATGTGTCCATGTTGCCATTTGGTTCATTTTTGTATTTTTTTTAATAGTACTTACAAAATGTTTGGAAACAAGTTTAATTTATGTTTTTTATATTGTCTTTTTGTATAATAAATTTAAAAAAAGTTATTTGGCGTTTTCTTAACAACTGCAACTTCGCAACATTTCAAATTGTTCACCCATTACTGGGCAAGACCTAGTGTAATCAGACTTCGCATATTAGCAATTGATCGAAAACTAACTTTCACATATCCATTTTATACGGGTTCACTTACCTTATATTGATATACTCTATTCACTCATAGGAAATACATTTCAAAATTCACAATTTTCCAGTCTTGCTCTGTGAAGGGTAAGATACAAAATTTACTAAATGACCCCAACACATACGTTTCCATCCCCGAGAATACATGGAAAAAACGGATTCCTTTCTTGGTAAGAGCCTCAGAATGCTTATAAAATCAAAGGAAGGGAAAAAGCCCTTGTGCCTTGTCCCAACCAACCCCAAGTCAGCAAGGCTTTATGGTTTACTGAAGACCCACAAACCAAATGTGCCTATGAGACCTACTACATCTAGTATTGGCAGTGCCCTGCACAGGCTAGCAGGGGTTTTGGCAAAATATTTTTTGAAACTTCTGGGTACAATTAGTCAGGCTCACCTGAAGCATTCAGACGATCTCCTTAACTGTGTGAGGGATCTCGACATGCATGATAAGAAGTTTGCAAGTTTCAATATAACTACCTTATTCACCAATGTTCCAGCTGATCAACCCATTGATCTTCTTCACAGGGTGATTAACGATGATAGAGTTACCTATACATTGCCAGGATTTTATAAGCCTTATCAAACTATGTGTTCGTTATAACTGTTTTAGGTTTGAAGACAAGTATAAACAACTGCTCAGGCAAGCCATGGGCTCACCCCTTAGTGTATTTATATATGATAAATTAGACACATGTGCAACACATGGGTATCTTTAATGAGGAAATGTTTTGCCACACAGTGGCTTCATCAGTCCATACAAAGGAGAATGGTGAAGAACAGGAGTAGTTTGAGGTAATCAGTCCCTCAGCCTTGACTCGATGTAGTGAGTCCATCAATCTTGAAATGTATACAGCATATGTGTGAAGCAGCAGCTTATATACTGTAGGCAGGAGAGGTGCAGCAGTCGTAGGTGGTATCACATTTGTCCAATGTGGAAGTAGGTCATGCCCAAGGGTTAGGTAAGTGAAGATTGATGGACTGACTACATACATCAACTCAACGCTGAGGGACTGATTACCTCAAACTTCTCCTGTTCTTCACCATTCTCCTTTGTTTGGACTGATGAAGCCACTGTGTGGCAAAACATTTCCTCATTAAAGATACCCAAGTGTTGCACACGTGTCTAATTTATCAACTTGTCGGTTCTCTGAACCATTCATCCATTTATATATGGAGGACCTAGAATCCAAACGAATCCTCAATAACATCCCTAGGTGTTACATAGATGTAGTACATTGATGATATTTTGGTAATTGTACCCAAAAATTTAGATGTATGTGATATCTTCAGCACCATCAACACTCTGGAACCTACTATTAAATTTACACTAGAGGAGAAGGACAACCTGTTACCATTTCTCAACATTCTCCTAATCACTGGCAAAAACAGACTTTCTTTTGAAGTCTACCATAAACCTAACAATAAGAACGATCTTCTACATTTCTTCTCTCACTACAACACCAGAACTAAAAAGAAGGATAGTTAAAGGCTACTTCCTGAAAGCTTACAAAATTTCAAGTCCTCAGTTCCATGAGGAAGAACAACCATTAGTTCGCTACACTTCACAAGTGACTGCAGGAAATGTGCGACGCACATCCTCAACAAGATCAATACCAATGAAGTTGAAGAAAAGCCTCCAAGTTACATCGTTTTACCGGTTAGCAATATTGCAACTAAAGTTTCTAAAATTTTTGACAGAAAAAATAGCTAAAATATCCACCAGCTCTTTAACTAATATTAGAAACCTAGTGGGAAAACCCAAGAATGACTCTGGCACAAGTTCAAAATTATACACTATACCATGTGGGGGGTGTGACAAAGCATATGTAGGGGAAACAGCCAGATCTCTGGATATTAAGCTCAGAGAATACAAAAATGCTTGCAACAGTGATGGCTGTAAAAACCACACATATTCAACATAGGGATGATGTTGGACACTTCATGAAATTCAGCGAGGCTAAACTAGTCCTTAAGGAAGATGATTTAAGACGGTGAAAGTGTACTGAAGCTGCCCTAAATGCTGTCAGTAACACTATCCATCAAAAGTCTGAAAGTTACACTATTTCCAAATCACTATTTTTTTTTTTTTATTTTCAACAAAATTTGTCGATAACATCTCACCCACTCTCTCACAGTTAGGCCTCATTTAGACTATGCTGCTCAGTTCTGGTCACCATATTACAGAATGGATATAATTGCTCTGGAAAATGTACAGAGGAGGATAACAATGATGATCCCATGTATCAGAAATCTTCCTTATGAGGATAGACTGAGGGCCCTGAATCTGCACTCTCTCAAAAGGCGTAGAATTAGGGGGGATATGATCGAGGTGTATAAATGGAAAACAGGAATAAATAAAGGGGATGTAAATAGCGTGCTGAAAATTTCCAGCCACGACAGGACTTGCAGCAATGGTTTCAAGTTGGAAAAATTCAGATTCAGGAAGGATATAGGAAAGCACTGGTTTGGTAATAGAGCTGTGGATGAGTGGAACAAACTCCCGAGTACAGTTATTGAGGATAAAACATTGTGTAGTTTTAAAAATAGGTTAGATAATTACATGAGTGGGTGTGGGTGGGTGTGAGTTGGACATGACTAGCTTGCGCTGCTGGGTCTGGTGCCATGCTCCTTCCTTGAGTGGAGGTGACCAGACTGGGTGGGTCATTGGGCTCATCCGGGGGGATGGGAGGACATGGACTTGCTCTGCATGGGTCAGTAGGCCTGTTGCAGTGTTCCTTCTTTATGTTCTTATTTGCTCTCTTTTTACACTCCCTCACCACTCTCTTAACCTCTCTTTCTATCTGCATATACTCCTCCCTCCTTGCATCACTTCTTTATAAAAACCTCTCATATGCTAACTTTTTCTCCCTTATTACTCTCTTTACATCATTTCCCCAATTGCTGTTCTTCCCTCCTGCACCCACTCTCTTGTAACGACAAATTTCTGCTGAACACTTTAACACTACATTCCTAAACCTACCCCATACATCTTCGAAACCATTGCCTATACGTACTCTCACTAGCCCATCAATCCTCCAAAAGTTG